AACATCTAATACTTACTTCCAGGGCCATTTATATCAAAATTGATATTTGGCCGCAGCATGTTGGTGTTTTGTAACATCTCATTTTTAGGAGGTGGGTAGTTAGCCCAATGCTCAACCCCCAACCAGGAGGACCAGGTATACTGTACACATACACACATACAGTACACTACAGACAATTTAGCTTACCCAATTCACTTATAGCGCATGTCCTTGTGGGGAAAACCAGAGCACACATGAACACGAGGAGAACATGGGAACTTCACACAGAAATGTCAACTGGCCCAGCTGGGGCTTGAACCAGCGACCTTCTTGCGACAGCGCTACCCAATTGTAGTACTTATAGTATCTACTTATAGTATCTGACCACCACATCTGTTCTTAAGTCAACGACTCACTGATTCAAATGATTCATTCAGACCGAGTCTCCAGTAAAAAGCTCACTTACTGTATTCATATGATTCATTCAAAGTGAGTCTTAAGCAAATAATTAGCTGAATTTACAAACTGATCTAAATGGGGTAGGTTTTGTTGTAAATCTAAATATAACATTAACGTAATGTAAATTAATGATCATATTTTGCTGCTGTAACACATATTAGACTTTATATGATTACATAGCTTAGCTTTTATATTTATATTTTTTAACATGTTATATATTTTATGGTGTGTTTTTATTTGTCACATTTTGTTTTTATTATAGTCATACACTAATAAGTTATATGATATGTTACTATTTAAATATTTTTTATATCATACTGTAAATTACACCTGACAACTTTTGGTAAGAGCGACGTGGTGGCGCTTTGAGTAGCACAATCGCCTCACAGCAAGAAGGTCGCTGGTTTGAGCCTTGGATGAGTCAATTGGAATTTCTGTGTGGAGTTTGCATGTTTTCCCCTAGTTGGCGTCGGTTTCCTCCGGATGCTCCGGTTTCCACCACATGTCCAAAGACATGCGATAAAAGATGAATTAGGTAGGTTAAATTATGTGGGGGATTGAGTGTGTATGGGTGTTTCCCACTGATGGGTTGCAACTGAAAGGGCATTCGCTACGTAAAACATGTGCTGGATAAGTTCAAGACTGGCAGTTCAATTAGCTGTGGCGACCCCAGATTAATAAAGAGACTAAGCCAATGAGAAAATGAATGAATAAACTTTTGTTTACACATTTTTCTTCCAAAATAAGCATTACAGTACATTACAAATGAAATACTTTTGTACTTTACCTCAAGTAAAATTGAAAAGGGCTGCTTTATTCTTTTACTAGAGTATTTTTTATTAAGGTATTTGTACTTTTGCTCAAGTATCTGATTTTTATACTTCGCTGACCACTGCTTGTAACCTAAGCCAATATAGAAGTTGACAGATCAGCATACACTAAATCAAGCTTCCCTTTAACAGACAACCTGAACACTCTTTCCTACTATTGTGGCGTTCTCAGAGTAAGTGTGCTATTTATTAATATGGTTCTTCTTGGGGGAAGGCTGAAATGTATATCGTTTTAAGTGCCTTAAGGGATAGAGGTTAAGATGTAATATAAAACACTGCTGGTAAAGCCCACCTCCTGAATGCTTTGTACTTTTCTAGCTGAGCTCATTAAACTTAAGGAACCTTTCGTTTTATTGATAACCATGGGAGTCTCATATGCTAATATGTCTTTTTCCTCTTATCTTCCAGAGCCCAGAGCATGAAGCTTATTTCTTTTATTTTTTTTAAGCTAAATTTAATGTAAAATCCATTCTGTTATATTGCATAAGTGTTTGAAAATGTTCAGTGTGCCACTTAATGTGTGTTTTGATTCAAGGCTAATAGTGCAAGGGTTGTTTGTTTTGTCTTTGTTAAAGCTCTGTGCACCTTTTATAGATGTTATTTCACCCCCTGCTGGTTGAAATTGATATAACCGTATGTGTGTGCTTCGACTGGGATTTATGTATCATTAGCATTCAGCGGAGACTTATAAGTGTGTTTTATCAGCATGCCATTTCTTCTGTTAAACCAATCAACTTGGGTTTACTTGCACCATGTTCTGCCAGTTGGAAATTTACCACAGGGATTTAGCATCTAAATCTAAATCATCCAAAGAAAAAATTGTCTACCCAAAATGTTTGTTGTTGATTGTTTATTTAAGATTTCTGTTGTCTGTAAAAGTAACTTCGTTATAAATATTAAATAACACTCACTGGAATGGTAGGGTACTGTAAATTTAGAGTGAGTAGAGTAATATTACTGTATCATCAGCATTATAAATAAACATTGGATGCCATATCATTGCAAATAATAATCAGGTGACACAAGGACTAAAGGGGACCATCACAAACTTTTTCAAGGAAGTTTATTTATCTGAATATTTTAGGAAGCCTACCATAAGTTGTCATGGTTTAAAAAAGGCTCTTAAACACTATGAAAGCATCAAATGAAGCGTCTGCATTATATTCCAATTTAGGTCTTCTGAAGTTATTTTGGTGTATGAATAGACCTACAATTGATCATTTGTCTGATAATCTTCACCTGCAGCTCTAAAAGAATAACAAAATCACAATTATGTCTATCCTCTGTTGTCCTCTCACAACAAAATGAATCCAAACTGTGAAGATAAAAATTTAAAAAAAGCTCACTTGTCCTATTTTAAATGCTATGCCATCATGAACAGTAAAAAAATAAAAACCTACCAAAAAAGTATTTAAGACCAAGCAGAATCCTGGCAGAATAGGTGTGACTTCAGCTAATCAGTTTTGGCCAATACTAACAAATATTTTTTATAAGGCCAGCTGTGCAAGAAAACATACAATCTGATTTAAGTAAAGTCATCTTTCACTGCTGTATTGTTTTAAAATAGAAAAAGCGTTTTACAAGTAACTTTTATTCTAAATCTTGGCCCTTGATTTAAAAAAAAAAAAAAAAGACCAATAAAAACGTTTGTAGCACCAAGAGCAGACCATATTAAAACTGATTTGAGTATTTTGCCTATTGTTTTTATCCATGAAATTTCAAATTAACTTTTTTGTTTTTTTTTACAAGAGAGGCTAGAAAAATTGTGACGCTCTAAATAATAACAATAATAATAATAATAATTATTATTATTATTGTTATTATTGTTGTTTTTGTTGTTGTTATGTTTTATTTTTTATTGAAATGGCCAAATTCTGACTGAGGAAAGTTGAATGTGCTGGCCACTTTGTTACTTGCCTAATAAATGACATTAGACTCATTTTTAATTTAAAACTTTAACAGAACTTTATATTTTGTCTTCTGATATACGATGTAATAAATGTTTTTTTTTTATAAGATTTTTTGTATCATATTTCTTTATTCTAAATCTTTAGGAAATATTAATGGTACATTAAAAAGTGTGGATATGATAAACATCTGAGAAACTGGTCCAGCTAATAATAATGCTTAAAATGTAGAATTTAAATCTCATGATTAAAAAGAACATTTAAAGGTGTATTACTGCAAAAAAGTCCACTTTCTGGAAAAAAAAGTTAACCACTACACAGGCTGCCTACGGGCCTGATATATAATGTTTGAAAAAATGAAATCAAAGATCGAACTGATGTCACAATTTCAAACAGAATCAGTCCAACACAAAGGTTGCTCCAAGGACTGGATAGAGCTTGCAGAAGCACATTTTCTGCATAAATATTTATCTAAACACCAACCTTGGCAATATACTATTTCAAAACTTCTTTTATTTGCCCTTAAACTTTACTGTTTTCTGTTTTTTTTTTTAACCAACATGCATACACAATTAGATTTGGTTAACAACTTAGGCCCTGTCCACACATACGCTTATTTTCAAAATCGTACTTTTTTCTTTGCGGTTTTGTGGTTTGTCCACACAAAAACAGAGTATCAGGTGGCTAAAACAGAAACTTTCTGAAAACGCTGGCCTGGGTACAGTGTTGTGTGGATGCTACAACTAGATTTTTCATTTCATGAAATCAGCGTGCTTGCTGTTTTCTCCTTTCTGATTGACCAGGTTTAAGCCAAACATGGACAATGCAAATGAGACAAATTAAAAAAAATTTGGCAAAACACGAAATAATCTACAAAATAAACCTGATTTACCAAACAAACCACAAACCAGGATTGGAGCGTCTTCTTTTATAATTGTACTGACACACGGCTGTGGTGATAGACATGGTGAAATGCACTGTTATGAAAACATTTCAAATTTGTAAAACTGATTCATGATCATATCTGATGATGACTGATGATCACAGCAAGCTGAACAGAACAAAATGGAAGGGATTTGGATCCTATTTTAACGTCAGAAAATTTTAAAAAGAGATTTATTGTGTTTGTATCACACTAATATGACTGTGGACACACTATACCTACAAACAGTGCTGTCCAAACAGCTCCTAAAAGATGTGTTTTCATCATACTGTAGGTGCCCTTAAAAAAACAAGACTCTTCAAATAGGGCTGCACAATATATCATTTCAGCATCGATTTCACAATGTAAGCGTTCACAATAGTCACATTGTAAGATTTGCATTGTTGATTCTGGATTATAATTTATCATTTGCATGTGTTTTTGAGGCATGTGACTGTATGAGGAATTTGAAACCATTAAGGCATAAGAAAGTGTACCATTGTAACAATTCATTTTATTGAATTATTTATACAACGGAGACTATGCAGTATTATTTTACATTAGATTACTGAAATACTGTACCTGAATACTGTTAGACTCCTAGGAAAACAATAAATAATGGTTTATTTCATTTCTTTAATGTTTTTTTGTGTGTGTTTTTTATTGTTTTTGTATGCTTGTAGATTGTTTATTAGGTTTTATGCAGATGCACCTACAGAATCACCCCAATCAATCAAATAAAACGATCAATTCTATCCAAATAGAATTATTTATGTCATCTTGTGAAATTGTATTTATATTGCAATATATATCGCAGAACAAAAGAATATGGCAATGTCAGGTATTTCCAATATAATGCAGCCCTATCATCTAATACTGTCTGTTTTCGACTTCGTTCTCCAGGTTCAGTAAGATCCAGAACACCAAGAACACCATGAGAAAAGATGGCATCAGCTCGCTCATGTATAGAGTGGTCTCCATAAAGAAGTACCCGCTCTACACCAACATTTCAGTAGAGATCGGCAAGCCTCCTCCAAGACCCCTCAAAGGATAGAGAGTCTAAACCCGGGACATCATCATGACCTTCCTAAAGCTCAGCACACGAACACACACGTACTGTACACACACAAACTCTGCCCAGGGTCACTCTGATGCAGCAGTGATATGCTGAACAGGTTAGTTCTCAGGAATACATGGAAGCTTAGTGAGGATCCATGGATGTAGATTTATATCCTGATCCAGATGGAGATGTGCACATGGAGTCTGGACAAGACAGGAGCATCATTTTCATACTCCCGATGGCTGGCTCGTTCAGACCTTGAGGGTCAATAGGCGTTTTAGGCTGGAGCAGAAGGATTGTTCACTTCTGTTTTTTGGTGAGTGACGTTAATCTGCGAAGGACAGCCCGGCCACTCGATGTAAATCAGTCAGAAACACACTGTACATTTTACAAGCGAATGTGTCTTTGCACCTGCGATGCTTGCAGCGTTCAAATCTCTTCTTTTGTATCTCGAGATGTTGGTGGAACCTGTGAGGTTGACGAATCGGTGCTTGGATTGTGTCTCTATCTCTTGCGCTCTTTGATTTTTGTATGATCACTTGGGACTACGCTGAATTTCGTCGATCGTGAAAACATTTCTCGGTGTTTCTAGGATGAAATCGATGTCGGGATATTTTTCATGGGGACTCTAGTGTGATTAGACTGGATCTGGATGAGTCCTACAAGCACATGGCTGTGTCAGTCGATATGTTATGAATGGCTATCTGGAGAATCAGCAAAGAACTTTTCCGCTGAGAGATTTGTTGAAGTTGCCGATGACCGAACCTCTTTATCTTTAGCAGCACCGGCTCAAAACTTGACTGTGCCACTTTTTCTTTGTTTACTTTCATTTGCCTCAAAGATTCATATTTAGGTCTGTCATATATCAAGGGATTTTATAAATTCTTGAAGGGTGAAGTTAGAGATAGGTGCTTTGACAAATAATGCACATGTTGATCAGTTCTTAAAGTCTTAACACCTCTTATGATGATCATGCTTGGAGGGTTTAAATCTAATATTTCTATTATCAAAAATGTTCACCCAGGGTCCAAAATCAACATTTTGACACTGTAAAATATGCTGGGTTCCACACAGTCCCTTCATGTCATCCCAATGCAAATCAATTAAGTTAACTTTTTACAATTTTAAGCTGATTAAACATAAAATAATTAGCCTGTCCCAAAAAAAAAACTCAAGAATTGTTGTTTGAGCTCATTTTATATAAATAGTTATACCAAGCAGCAAAAAGTAATTTGAGTGCACCTTACGATTTGAGTCAACTGAGATATTTTAATGACCATAATTGTGATTTACTGGCTGTGAATCTACAGTTGAAGTCAAAATTATTAGCTCTTCTGTTTAATTTTTCCAAATATTAACCGTCATTTCTTCAAAACATTTTAAACTCTTTTTATTTTTATTTCTATTTACACATTTATTTTATCTTTGCCAAGATGGCAGTTCATAATATATTTTGAGTTATTTTGCAAGATACTAGTGCTCTTTCTTAAAATGTAAAGACTTCCACTAGGTCAATTAGGTTAACTTGGCAGATAAGTTAAATTAGGCAAGTCAGTAGTCAACAATGGTTTGATCTGTAGCCTATCTAAAAAAAAATCAGAGATGACTGCCCATCTACCAAACGGTTGATCATGTTTTTATTGTTTTAAGTAATAACATCATTGTTGGTTTACCAAAAAAAATAAAAATTGCACTGTTACTTGATTTTGGTTTCATTGTAAAAAAAAAAAAAGAAAAGGAAAAAAAAAAGAAAAAAAATGTTAAATGAGAAACTGAAATATTTTATGGCATACTTCAAAAAATACAGATGATTTAGTATTCAAACATGTTTTATTTTGAATATGTTTTTAAATTGGTCTCACGCTCCATATTTTCAGATTTCTCCTAGGATATGTATTAAGTCCTGTACGTTTACCATAAACCAACATATCAACCATTTGTTGAAGGCTAATATTTTAGAAATTATGGGAAAAAAAGGGGTTAAAGGGGCTAATAAACTAATAACTAATTTTAAAAATAGTTTTGAACCAATCTAAAAAAGCTTTTAATCCAGACAAATTTAAAAAAAATAAGTGAGAAGTAAGTTATAAGTAAAATAAGTAAGTAGAAAGTTATAATAAAAAAAGATTAGCGGAAGGCTTATAAATTTGCTGTACACTGTAAAAAAACACTGGCTTCCACACAATTGATTTGTATTGAAACAACATGAAAGAATTAAGTTAACTTGTTAGTTTTTGCAAATTTAATAAGGCATGGGTCGGTATATGCTTCTGACGGTATAATAAAAATATCTTGGATAAAAATATCACGGTTTTACGGTTTTGTGATTACTGCTCTAAAATATGTTCTTTTTAAATGTCTGGGTAAAAAACAAGAACTTTTTCCCTTTTGAACACAATATATTTCATTTTAGGATATATTTAGGAGCAGTAAACATGTCAGGCTAAATAATTTGAATTAATCATTGACTTGTGTTGTGTTCATCAACTTGAAAAGGCGTATTTGGAGATCTTTCTGCTGGAGAGACTGTTGTCCTAAAAAACAAAATATAAAAATGTAAAAAAAATATTAATGATGATTTAAAATAACGTACATATACATATACTGTAGGAAGTCAGGAGCGGTATAGCAGAAAATTATGGCAGTTTTAAAACCCTGACTTTTCCAAACTGCGGTATACCTTAAAAATGGTTAAAGTCCCCAAAATTTAAGTGGATTGATCATAAAACAGTTAATAATAATAATAATAATAATTAATAATAATAATTCCTTACATTTATATAGCGCTTTTCTGGGCACTCAAAGCGCTTTACACACAATGGGGGGATCTCCTCATCCACCACCAGTGTGCAGCATCCACCTGGATGACGCGACGGCAGCCATTTTGCGCCAGACCGCACACCACACACCAGCTGATTGGTGGAGAGGAGACAGCGATGAAGCCAATTGGAATATGGGGATGGTTAGGAAACCATGATAGACAAAGGCCAGTTGGCAGATTTGGCCAGGATGCCGGGGTTAAACCCCCACTCCTTTCGAAGGACATCCTGGGATTTTTAACGACCACAGAGAGTCGGGACCTCGGTTTAACGTCTCATGCGAAAGTTAAGTTTTCAACAAAAAAAAAACTACTCAAATGTTTTAACTCAATTAATATAATTAGTTTGAACAAACAGCAAATGTCATTTTATATTGCAATTTTTCTCTCACAAGAACTAAATTTGTCCCTATGACTATGGCTTTTATCAGATTTGTGAGAGCATATTTTATGTGTGAATCTTTTATTAAAGTAAATCATTTTTAATTAATGGACCAGACATGATAGTAATGACTTTTACATTGTCATAAACTTTTCCTTTAACTAAATGCTGCTTGTTTCAATTAATTTTGATCAAATCAAACCATTATGTTTACCATTATATTAATTCATTATGGCTGATAGAAAGGATATATTATTTTTTTACTTAAAATATAATTAATTTGCCTTTTTTATTTATTTTTAATCAAGACAATTTTCCCTCACATTTGACATACTGCAAATGTTAATTCTGGACCCTGTGTTATTCACCTCTTCCACAAAAAAAAAAAAAAAAACATAGAAATTTATTGAAATGTTCTTCTTTCAGATCATTTGCAAGCCTAAAACAATGTTACATTTCTTCCCGTTTTATTTTACTGCCTGAAAACACCAAGCTGATGCCTTCAGATGTTTTATGAGGGGTAAATGTGAGGGGAGTTCAAGCTATTTTTCCCCTCTTATCGGCTTTCCTGCGCAGCGTGAGCATCTCTTTTGTGCTATCAATGATTCTTTCAGCCCAGCACAGAGGAAGTCATTAATGAGAGGCCGGCTACTCTCCTTCTCCTTTTTAAAACACACTTTTCCTCATCTATTCTCCTCATGCCTCTCATTTTCGCTTCACCAGCCTATTTCATTTTTCTGTGTGCATTTGTGTTGTCTTTACTGCTGACCCAAGCAGTCGCTGCGTTGCCAACATTGGTTTCCTTCTTGAGTGTTTCATCACCTCCGTCCCTTGGGTGCTGCTACCTGTCAGTTATAAGTGCATTACTTCTGCCACACTGTATTTGTACATTTACCATCAAGAGGAACAACCGTTAATGCTTACCTTACGCAATTTCGCCTCAAGGCTTATGATTTTACATATATAAATAGCCATAAGGATGACATCCATAGCTGAATGTAAGGAAAAAGTGGTTACTCTTTTTTACAGATTGGTAGTTATATCCAGTAATATTTACCCTAGCGCTGTGACCTGCATTTTAAACGTGCTGAACAGTGTTGCAGAATGCAGTGAATTCGCTCGAATGAGATTTCAAGCCAATTTCCGTATTAAAAAGACATTATGCTTGTCCCGAAATGTCTTGGCAAATGAAAAGGAATCTGTTTCAGTCTTGGTGAGATGAGATTATATTCCTTTCCTAGTTCTTGTATCAAGGTACATATTAAATTGAAGGAGAAAAATGTTGCAGAGCGCACATCTTTTTTTTATTTCCCTAAAATGAAAATTCATTCCTGTCCATTTTAGGAATACAGAGTGAAAGTAGCTCCAGCATATTGGAGACACATATTGTTGCATGCAACCTGTCAGGATAACCTTTAACCTAACCCAAACCTGTGTAAAATTATGGAGTACACATTATGAAACCATGTTTTCAAATGCTGTAAAGTAGCTATAGATGATAGATAATTTTTTTTAAGCTAGTCTGGGCATACAATATTTGAGGGGCTTAAATCTTTTTTTTTTATTGGTTACAATTGCAAATAAGCTGAATTGCAGTCTCCAGTGTAGATACAGAGTTGCATTTTTCTTTAGTTTTGTCACTGGAAATCAAATATATATATATATATATATATATATATATATATATATATATATATATATATATATATATATATATATATATATATATATTTATAAATAAATAAGTATACACATTTAAAGGGATAGATCACTCAAAAAGGAAAATTCAGTCATCATTTATCCACCCTTAACTTGTTTCAAACCTTTTTTATTTTCTTTTTTCTGATGAAAACAAAAGAAGATATTTTGAAGAAAGCTGGAAACCGGTAACCATTGACTTTCATAGATTTTGTTTTTTTCTACTATGAATGTCAATAGTTTGTGTTCAACAGAAAAAAAAAAGTTTATTTCAACTTGAGGGTGAGTAAATAGTGAATAAATTTAAGGGCTCTATTATGCACCCAGCGCAATAAGGCGCAAGATGTGTTTTGTGCAATGTGCCTCCATCCCTACTTCATCTCGGCGGGATTTTTTTTTAGTTTGTTCATGATAATTTGCTTTTGTATAATGTTACTGTTATTATTAATATTATTTATTATATGCATATTTATATTTGTTTTAATAAAAACAAGCTTAGATGTGTCCACCTGTCGAGTTTTGGACCATATGGGGCATAAGAACAGGACGTGCGTTTGGATATAACTTAGATTTTGAACACACTTCGTTATTGTTGTTCATTTATTCATTTGCTGGAAATTAAAACTAAATTTAGAAATGGTTTTAAAAGAAATCTTTGCGCTTGACAAACAAAATCAATTATGGAGGCTAATGGATGTCTTCAGTGGAGTGAGTACAACACCGTTTTCTTAAACACAAAAGTAAAGGAGTAAAGAGTAAAAGTAAAGTAAAGAGAAAGTAAAGAGGCCGAATGGAGGAGGCTCGTTCTTTATCCTTGTGCTGCAGATGGTCTGTTTAACTGTTTTCTCACTATTGAATCGTTCCATTTTTTCACTTACAAAGTCCACCATGTAAATAGCAAATGCGCCATGGCGTGACGCAAATGACTTTTAAAGGAAAGGAGAGATGAGATTGGTTTAATGCACAGGAGGCTCAAAACACACCCATAACTCATTAAGAGAATAAGCACAATCCTGTTAGACCATGTGCTGCGGCATAAAAATAGCAAAAGTGAATTCGGACACGCTCTTAATGCGTTTGCGCCTAGATCGTTAAAATAGAGCCCTAAATGTTATGGGTGAACTATTCCTTTAAGTCATCCAATTATTCCATCCAGAACTTTCTTGTGCTAACAATTCAATCAAACGATGCATGTAGAAAACTCTCATAATTAACCTTGCAAAGCACAAACGCAATCTATGTGGTTAGGATGCTCTATATCCTCCGCTCACCTCAGCAGATCTCGCTTTGTAGTTTTCAAAATCACACCAGTGCCACAATGAATGCTCTTTTATTTTTGATGCCATTTCCTTGGGTCAGCAAACCCTCCCACCCTGAGAACTCACACACTCAGAGTTGTGTACGCAACGCTCACCATCTCTTCTCTGTCACCTTTTCTGCCCTCAGCCATTCTCTGGAAAGAACTTCATCTGCGCTCGATGCTTGTTTATGTGAGAGAGGGACAGAAGTGGGCAGGATTTCCACACCTACACAATGACTGGTGTTAGAAACTACTGACGGCCTCAGGTCTTCATGCCTTGGGCGCATTTTTAAAGACTTTCTGTCTATCAAGGTTTTTGTACATTGAATGTCAAGAAAACTATATCTTATATAGAATGCATTATGTCATATCAAACATACTTTTTGTATACAATCAATAAATCTGATGCTACAAGAATGCCATGCTGGATTATTCTTCATTCATAAAGTTGAAGACAAATGATTACATTTTAATTCATTTTAATTTTCAGATATTTCCCAAGTGACTGGACAAGACCAATGATGTATTTTGGGCTATGCAGATATATACTCCGTATGCCTACTTTTTTCACGAGACGTTTAGGTATTACGACTTCTGAAGATCAATATTTGGATTTACCCTCGTTATACTCACTTGTTTTGCTGATTAAACTTCCCTAATTTACGTGTATTCGTGTCCCCTTTAATTGTATACCAAATGTTTTTTAATTCGCATCCTTTTTTGTTGCAATCTGTGCATTTTTGTTTTTATTGCGCCATTCCCCATCTCCTGACGACTGCAGCAGCTGAAAAAAGACAAGTCAACTGAATTATGTCTCGCTAAAACATTTAGATAAAATTCTAAAACAGCATGGGCGTTGCTTTCATGTGTTGTGTTGTATTCAAAATTATTTTAGGACTGTAAAATATGTAAATTAGCCTGTACGTTTATATTTATGCCATTTTGAATTTTAAAAAAAGTGCCCCTTTTATTTATTTAATTCCTGGAAAAAATGTACTTGAGTATAGTGTTTGAGTTTTTAAAGAAGTGTGCTTTGCTTTTGTTTTCCTGATTTTTATTTTTATTTAAATTTGTTAGTTTAACTGTCTTGAAACACGATTTTTGTACAGTATTAACACACACACACACACACACACACACACACACACACACACACACACACACACACACACACACACACACATATTAATATACACACACACATGCACACACACAGTTAAAGTCAGAATTATTAGACCCCCATATATTTTCTTTAACAATGTATGTTTATCGAAGAGAATATTTTTATTGCAACACATTTCTGAACAAAATAGTTTTAATAACTCATCTCTAAATAACTGATTTATCTTTGTCATGATGAGAGTAGATAATATTTTACTAGATATTTTTCAGGACACTTCTATAGAGCTTAAAGTGACATTTAAAGGCTTAACTAGGGTAATTGTGTAAACCAGATAGGTTAAGGTACTTAGGCAGCTTAAAGGGGCTAATAATATTGACCTTAAAATTAAAATTATAAACCATTTTTATTTTAACCGAAATAAAACAAATAAGACTTTCTGAAGAAGAAAACATATTATCAGACATATTGTAAACATTTCCTTGCTCTGTACTTTAACTGTATATATAATAATATATTAAAGAAATTTAGACTTTTGTTGTTTTCTTTTCCTTATTTTTTTTTTCTAAAATTTGGGATGAGTGTGTAATAGTACACCACCTTATTTTAGGACTACACTACTGGACAAGACAATAATTCTTATCATACTTCTCTTCTGAATAGAGTTTTTCTTTATTTTAGTTTTGCTGGAATACATATACATACATTGTTGTTGCTTAGGGCAGCGTGTGAGAAACTCTCCAGGACACCGGCCCTCCTGGACCGAGTTTGGACACCCCTGACCTACAGCACCTTTAATGACAAAAGAAAGTTTTATTGCTATGGGTTTTATGGGAAACATGTTTGTCACTGAAATGTGGAACAAACTGAACCCAAATTACATAAAGAAGTCAGTCAAAGGTGAATAGTTGATTTGGAGATGCCTTTCTGCAGCAGTCTCTAAACAGTAACATTTATAAATGCATATTTCTGGTGCAGCACCAGAGCTGGGTAATGACTAATTACATGTAAATCTATGTATCACATTCCAAAAGCTATTTTGTTAAAAAAAAAAAAAAAAAAAAGTCACTTTATTTTAAAAGAACGGTTTTACAGTTTTTATTACAGTTGTCTTGACTATGTATACAAATATGGTCAAAAGTAATCCATTATTGTAAAATGTAATCAGATTACATTACCTAATGTGTAGTGATTACAATCATGTGATTTGTAATCAGCAAGGAACTACAAATTGTAATATACACAGCACTGAGTAAGAAATGGATAATGCATTTGCTAATGTTTGTAAAATATAAAATATGCATTCTTCTAAACAAGGTAAAATGGATCATAAAAAAGTAATAAATCTCATATTTACACCTTATTATTTTAACACCCACCTTTTACCAGCGCCATTCCAAATGACTGCTCAGGGACAAGGCTGTTTATTGGAAGGGGAACATTGTATCTCTAAACTGTCAGCCTTGTGGAAGAAACTCAATAATCTGCCCCTCAAAAAGTTATGTTTTCATGTGACAGATGTTGCAATAGACTAGCAGAAACAACAACACTAACATCCTGTAACTTTATATATGAGATAATAAGAGGAGACGCGTAGATCACTTGTGGTTTATTTATATTTGTGTACATTCTGTGTCATAATTGCAAATAGTTCTTGGGGAAAAAAGTAACATTACCACAGCTTTTAAAATGAGGTGTCGGAACAGAAATAAAGCAAAAACAAGCCTGCGTTATTTATGCATGATTTATTTATGTCGGGCTTGTTTGGCTGTATTTCATGCTACATTAGCTATTTCCATGCCTGCATGGCAGTAATGCAAGTCTCGCAGTCTTAACATACTTTGGTTTTTGAGCTTTTGAAGCAGGAAATAATACACATGCTGCTTTAAATCATTTAAAATACCACTGAAAACAACTTCAAAACAACGTCAACATTTTATACAACATAGATATTAAAAGGCATATAAAAAGTAATATGTTCATTGTGCTTTTTTTTCAACCGTGCCAAAAAGGTGTCTCAAAACTAAGCTCTATGATTGGTTCCATTAGGGAATAGCCCTTAGAGAGTCAACATAATATTTTAAGCACTTGTTTTACATTGAAAATGGAATTCTAAATGGTTAGTTAACATAAGAAGAATAACAATAGAAAGTTTTTAGTTGTATAATGCTTATATGATGCAGCTATTGATACAATTAAGAGACTTTTCTCTAAATGTGCTTAGGTATGGGTTTGAGTAAAATGTTCATCTTTGAAAAATTTTTTACTAAGTTTCAAAGAAAGTGATTGACTACCTTTACATGGACATCAGTAATTTGCCTTAATCTGAATAAAACGATAATATGATTAAGGTTTCACATGAATTGCTTTTTGAATGTTCATTTTATGATCTCGTTTTACATGTTTTACAAAACCCTACGCATTTCACGTTGTAGGTGTCTGTGGTCCTTCACTGACTCGGTAGGCGCCGAGATTAGTGTCAAACAGCCGTGTGTGTATCGACTATCCTGTCACAAATCCATCAAATCTATCCTGTCATCTGGAAAAAAACCTATCAAATCTTTCCTGTCATCTGGCAAAAATCCTACACGACGGTAATAGTTTGATTGCGGTGTTTACATGTCTGTACTGCACTTCAATAATGTGACTAAAATCGGCATACTCCACATGTCTTAATTTAATTTCTGTTTAGTTTAATAATGACCTTAATCTGATAAAATTAATTTAAAAAGGGCTGTTTAAATGGTAAACTCTAAATCAGTTTTGTCTTAATCATATTAAAATCGGATTATTGGTGTCCATGTAAATGTAATCAGATTTTTCAAGAAAAGGACAATTGACCTGAATAATGTTTTCATTTTCTTTCCATTCAGATATTGATTCCTTAAAAGGATAGTTCACCCAAAAATGTTAATGATGTCATCATTTACTCAACTTTAAGTGGTTTCAAACCTTTATAAGTTCCAAGAAACATTGACTGACATCCATAGTAATTGTTTTTCCTGCTATAGGAATCATGGATTACAGGTTTTCAGCTTTCTTCAAAATATTTTCATTTGTGTTCAACAGATAAAAGAAAGTCATAAAGGTTTGGAACCACTTGAGGGTGAGTACATTTTTATTTGTGCGTGAACTATCCCTTTTAACTCTTCTGAAGTTAAACAGTTGGCACTGTGCTGTCTAATAATAAATATAAATATGAAAACATGGCACATATTTTGTTCATTACTGCTAAAATGCTCTAAAATGAATACATATTGAATTTGGAAGAAATGTCAGCAGTAGTTTGCAGAACGAATCATATATATGCTGAATTTAACCAAACAAATTAGTTTGTTTGTTTGTTTGTTTGTTTGTTTGTTTGTTTGTTTGTTTGTTTGTTTGTTTGTTTGTTTGTTTGTTTGTTTGTTTGTTTGTTTGTTTAAATTCAGCCAAAAATAAATTGTTTGCAATCAGATCTTTGTTTCAAACCTTGAAAAAAAAAAGGAAATCCAATCAATCATTCAGAATACAGAGAAACTGAACTGTCTGAAACTGAGAAAGAATTGTAAAGTAGGCTCTTAATAGCTGAATACAGACTTTCTTCGGTCGTTTAGAAATCTGCTGACAAAGAGTTTTATACATCCACTATATAACCGAGGATGACAGATGACCCTTTCCCCTCAGTTTAGCCCCTCATCAGGCTGGCAATTTCGGATCCGGGAACACATAGCCAAACGGTTGCCCTCCCAGTAACCTGCATCCTGGATGTCATGACACCGACATTTGGTACAGGAGTCCACCCACACTGACTCTCCTCCAGGGATCACCTGCGTCCTGGAGGCGTTCACGTAACAGTTTGGCCCTGGAGAAACAAAAAGGGAAGATTAATGAGGCTCGTGATCTGAAGGTGAAGGTTTATTTTTTCCATCATATCCTTAAAGAGACAATGTTATGTAAGCCATGTAGGATATTTTATCAGAAACATTTGCTATCGAAACACAGGCTGCATCTAAAATCAATCACAATCTTAAAACAGTAGAGAAAAACAACCTGGATAATCAATTTTTCTGGTGATATTCTGAAGTGTGCATGCAATGAGTATCCCAAACAATTAAAAATTCAATAAATAAAAAAAATTAGATATAGGTATGTTTACAAATACATTTACATACAACAGTTCTGTCTGGTTCTTGAATCTGATTGGCTGATAGCCGTGCGATATTCTGCAAATAACAGCACTCGTCTAGCCTCTTAAACCTTCAACCTCCACCCACATACAGCAACAAGCAGAGAACACTACAGTTTGACAAATATTGCTGCTGTTGGACAACATTATGTACTTTTGGGGCTTTTTTTTTTTAGTGGAGAAAGTAGTTGTTTAGATTGCAGCTGTGCAGTTTACTTATAAGTATAGTGCTTATTTTAAAATATTTATAATTTCAGAACATCGTATTCAGTGCATCGGCCACCATCAGCCTGCCATATAGCACAGCAAAGAAAGTGAGGTTGACGTTCCGCCCCAAGATGGCGACTGAGACCGTATAATAAGTCCTTAGGGAAGAAAAACAGCATTTTCCCAGTGTGAATTTCAAACTACAGCAGAACATAAATCAGGTAAGTGATATTCTAATTCAATCTTTTTATTTTGCATTTGGTATTGCTGTATTTACACCACAGAAACTTGTAGTGTTTGCTTTGCTCTGGGATTTTCTGGGGTTAATTATATAAATACTGGGAAATGTCTGTAGATTGATGTCATTTCATGCCGTTCAGCCTAATAATCTTAAAATGTGGGCAAAAATGATCTGTTTTGTCATCATTTTAGACATTATGCCAGAGAATCATTTAAATACTAGCTCTAATGTAATGTTGGTGAAGTAGCATCAGTTTCTGCTGTTCCGACCGTCAGCTGCAGATGTGAATGAATGGCGGATGGGAGTGGTTGGGATAATTAGGTAAAAAAAAATTATATAAGACAATGAAAGTGCTTTTTTGACCTTCCATGCATATCAGACTGTTGTTGAAGACCCCCAAAACCAAAATATGACCGTTTATCATGCAAAATAGGGGCTCTATGAAGTTTTTGTTCAAATGTAAATAAAAGTTGAGAATTTTTTTTCTCTCTTTTGGGAGAAGCCTGTGTCATCTCAAGTAAAAAAAAAAAAAAAAAAAACAGCTGGTTGAATAAAAGTAATTTTAAGTCATTATTTGCCAGGGGTATGAATAATTTTGGGTTTGACTGTATATTCTTTTATTTATATTTACTTTTTTATTTTTGTTACTCAAAGTGATGCTATCTGTTGCCATGAGTTACATAAAATATTCATGTTCTACTGTAGAAAATAAGTCACTTAAATAATGTCTGGCCTGAGGGTCAATAAAATAAAATCTAATTTTCATTTCTGTGTTAAGCCTTCCCACACAGGCTATTCTGAAGTCTATTCTTTATTATTTTGCAATGATTATGACAAAGCAGAGTTAAAAACAAAGTTTAAAAAAGGTAAAAAGAAAATGAAAATGTGTGTTATATAATTAAGCACAATTACTTTGTAATTATTTCAAAGACTGTATTCTTTATGAAAACAATAAGTGCCTAGGAGCATCATAGTTTTTTCTTTAATAAGAAATATATTAACTTTGCACCTTGAGTTTCAAGTAGTTACAGCATTTTATTTAAGTTATAAAAAAGCTTATATAAGTCCTTATAATTCAGATTTATATAATCTCATTTTTTCTTCAAAATGCAGAACTTAAGTTTAAACTTTAAAAACTTACGGTCAGGAGTTTTAAAAAAAAAACCTCAGCAACCGCCACTAATTGGAAGCCTTGGAGTGTAGATAATGACATTGCTTTTTTTTTTTAGAGTGTTTAAGATAAGGCTTTACTTTATTTCTTTTTCCAGTTTCTTTAGATTAACTAAATTAAACATTTTTCACCACTGAGGGTATTTTTATCAATGAAAATGCAGCATAATTTGAGAAACTGACCATTTATCACATGGGTTGAAGTATATGCTTTGATTTATGTGTGTTGTTTTGGCTGCCTACATGCCCGCCTTATCTTTACTCCCACTAAACACTATAATTACCTTCATACTTCACAGTTTACAGACAAAACAATACAGCAGAGGCTCAACTCATCAAGAGTGTTATCTTATTTTAGGTGCAGAAACCAGTCTAGCACATGACCTGCTGTCTGAAACTCCCCATCTGTTATTAAACGAATTATATGAAGATATTACATACAGGATCGTTACCAAAGACTAATCACAACTTTATCCTCTATGAATGTGTGAAAGATATGAGAAAATGAACCACATTAGCAGACAATTTACAGATATGACACATGTACACACCCCTAACCTGATTTCATCAAGTAGGATGTCTTCCTGGATCAACATCTATGTTGATCCTGGAACAACATTCCAATCAGCCAATCAGAATTAAAGGATATGTTTGCGGTTTATGTTAAATTTGGGCTTACTGTTTCTGCACTTCTACATGATTGTTATCCAACCATATTCCCCTCTGATTTTGGGAATAATTTACATGTATGCTTGGCTTTAGGGGAAGGGAATAAGTATGGATTACATTTTTAAACAAAAATAATGTTTCAGGATCAACATAGATATTAATCCAGGATCGCATCGTACTTGAAAAAATCATGATGTGCCATAACACACACCAAACTGAAATTCTTATTTCACCCTAATATAATTTTTTTTTTAATAATAAAACATTATATTAATTATATAATATCAAATAACTTTTTAATAATTTAAATTATATAAAAAAGTTATGGGTGGCTCAGTGGTTAGCACTGTCACCTCACAGCAAGAAGATTGCTGGTTCGAGTCTCAACTGGGTCAGTTGGCATTTCTGGGCCCTATCATACACCCGGCGCAGTGTGGCGCAAGGCGTGTAGTCTTTTGGTAGTTTCAGCTTGGCGCAAGAGTCGTTTTGAGGCGTTGCGCTACGCTGTTTAAATAGCAAATGCATTAGCGCTCATTTGTGTGCCCATAGGCGTTCTAGTCTAAAAAGGAAGGCGTTCTGAGGCAGACCGCTGGCGCGTTGCTATTTTGAGAAACTATAATAGATTTTTCATAAGACCAAAACTAACCCTGTCTAAACTCCAGCGCAGAGTTGCACCTCGCTTACGCACTGCTTAATACGCACAAGAGAGCAATAGGCAAATATCTTTACATATGAAAAAATTTAAATATTAAGGATATATATATATATATATATATATATATATATAGGATTTAATAAGAATAGATATAGGATATAAATATAAAGGATTAAAATATTACAAAACATATTATTTTCTAGCCTACATAAATATAAAAAAAAATCACTGCTTTTATGTCTTCTTCATCTCAGGAGGCTTTTTCAGTTCATTCATAACATTTGTATAATGTTATTATTACTAGCAGTATTATTTAATATATCCATATTTATATTTGTTTAATTAAAAACAAGCTTAGATTTGCCCACCTGTCAGGTTTTAGACCATATGGGGCATAGCAGGTGTATTTGGAAATAACTCAGTATTTTGACCACACTTGGTCATTATTGTTCATTTATTCGTTTGCTAGAAATTAGAACTGAATTTAGAAATAGTTTTGAAACAAATATTTGTGCTTAACAAACGAAATTAATTATTTATAGGCTAATTGATGTCTGTGCGTAAAGGTTTCCCTATCCAAGAGCGAAAGAGAAAGTGATTTATTATCTCTCATTCTCACGCAGTAGATGATCTAACAGTTTTCTGTTGAAAAAAATGTCAACTGTTTGCTTGTGAAATGCTCATTTTTTCCACTTTGACTTACTTTGCGTCCTGTAAATAGCGAATGCGCTCTTGGCGCGACGCAGCTGGGTCTTAAAGGGAATGGGAGATGAGACTCTAATTGGTTTATTCTCAAAACACACCTATAACTCATTAAGAAAATAAACTCAACCCTTTTATGATTTCAAATGCCTTGGCGCGAAGCGCATTTTCCCGTCCGTAAATTAGCAAAAATGCGTTCTGACACGCCCTGAAAGTGTTTGCGCCCTGCGTTTTGCGCTCTGCGCATGGACCGTCAAAATAGAGCCCTCTGTGTGGAGTTTGCATGTTCTCCTCGTGTTGGCGGGGGTTTCCTCAGGGTGCTCCAGTTTCCCCCAAAGACATGTCCTATAGGTTAATTGAATATGTATGTGAATGAGTGTGTATAGGTGTTTCCCAGTTCTGGGTTGCAGCTAGAAGGGAATCTGCTGCGTAAAACATATGCTGGATAAGTTGCCGGTTCATTCCACTGTAGCAAAACCTGATGAATAAAGGCACTAAGCTGAAGGAAAAGGAATGAAAAACAAGTTATGTGAACTAAATTTTTTATTGTATTAAGGTGAGCTTAAACTAAATGAGTCGAAGCAGAGTTCCATTATGCTTTCCGTCAAACTATAGGTGTTGAAAATAAGTGTTATTCTATGTGTTTTTGCAAAGAGGATCATAGGAAAATGTGAATTATGATGCAATTTGGTCTATGTAAGGATTTACAGAGACTGTATGAGAATAGAACCTGTGGTTAGGTTTGGAATGGGCTGAAAAAATATGTAAGGCTGTATACTGTTCCATTAATAATAATAATAATAATAATAATAATAATAATATATATATATATATATATATATATATATATATATATATATATATATATATATATATATATATATATATATATTTTTTTTTTTTTGTAATTTGCCCACCTCTGCTTTATCGGTCCTCGCCAATCTGGCCGAATACATAGCCTACAGCAGCCACAACACGACAGGAGGTAAATGATGTTTGGGGGGCATGAGCGATCTATGCGCTCACGTCACAACAGCTAAAATATATATAGATATACAGAAGATGCTGTGCAACCTCTTTTACAGTCTATTGACGTGAGTGATGGTACCTTTGTTGCAAGTGCAACCATTGTATTTACCGTGTTTTGAGCTACTGTGACACGATCTGAGAAATTGTTTGTCATTTTTCTTACCAATTTTTTTACCTGTGTTATGTCTCTTTTTGTAAAGCTGCTTCTGGCCATGAGATGTGTTTAAGGGATTATTTGCAGCGTCCTTAATTAATTCACTTAAGTAAAGAGAGATCTCCACTTATGTGCCATACTTGGAGGGAATATGTGCTTTATGCATTATAAAGCTTGAAGCATTTGAATCGGTACTCGGTATCGGCCGATCACCATGACAAGGAGTAGGTACTCGGTATCGGCTGCAAAAATCCTGATCGGAGCATCTCTAAAAACAACTCTAAAAAAACCAACAACAACAACAAAAACACTTACCATCCTTGCACTGAGGGCAGCATTCGCCTTTCTGATAGACTGGATCAACACATGGCGGAGGAGCACAGTCTGCCACCTGACAGTGGGCAATGCCATCACTGTAACAGGTGCACTGCTCGCACGCTGACGGCTGTCAATCAAAGAGGATATCAAATGATTAAAAGCTTTTTGAATGGAACCAACAGGGCTTGTATACATAATTCAGACACCTGATGTTGTGACAATCTAACACCGCTACAATGTCAAGAATGTGATCAAATTCCTCTCACACACTGCTGTTTAAGTAGGAGCTGCATTACCACATGTGCCTCAGTGCTGGAGCTTGGGTAAATGGACTGGAAGAACGTGATGTCAGATCAGGCAAAGTGTATTCCTCCGAGTCTGTCAGAAGGCTTCAATTTTCCCCTCAGGGATTCCCCATTAGCCATAATAACCAAATCAGGGAGATAATGAAGCACATATAAGCCCTGCTTCTTCCAGGCATGCGCCACCAGAGATATTTCATTCTTCGGTTGCTTAAATGGAGTATTAAATTGCCTTTTGTTATTTAAGCCTAGCGTACATCATATTTGTTCTTCACCTTACTTCAGAACAAAAGAAGCCTGCTGTAATACCTTTTGAACTTGCACAATGAATATGAATGATCAAAAAATTACCTTTCAGAAGTAAAGGAATGCTTTGATCCGAGTTTACAAAGTGTAAATAAAAGATTTTTTGCTGTCTCAGGATGAAATATATGAATGGGATTTTATTAACATAGAAAGTGTATTAAATGCTAATGTCTGCATTAATGTTTCACAGTTTAACATCTGTGAACGTGAAATGTCAAAATATGGGAGAAGTATTTTGGTTGAGAAGTATGAGACTTTTTTTTTACTTTTAATGAAAACAAACAAAAAAAAAGATTTCTAAATAGCATTGTTTGTCAACTCAGCTGGCAATTTTTTGGCATATTTGGTAAAAGCATTTGACTTAACAATTTTTTCTTTTTAGCCAAAACAAACATGGTGGTCAAGAGAGGGCTAGTGCGCGGCAAGTTACATAAAAAAAAAAAAAAGAAAAACATCTTTATCAATTTGACAACACAAATTCACACACATCCAAATACTGAAATATTTTCAGAGATACATGAGTTTTTTTGATTGTTTTAACACTGATTGTATGTTTGTATTGTTTGCATATTTGTAGGCCTAATAATCTGACAAATTGAGAAATTAATTGTGAATGAAACATTATTTTAACTCCACATTAACAAGTTAAAAAAGACAAATTTCCCCAGACAAATTTCCATTGTGATCTGGATTATTTGCAGAGCATTTCTATATTTGCATGTGTTATGAGAATTTTTGAAGATATACTCTAAATTAGTTAGTTTTCTTAACATTGCACGTTTCAGCTCTCTCCGCCACCATAAATAAACCTTCACTTGCTAGTGTAAATACTATAAAAACATGGCAATAATGAAATCATGACTTCTGAGCAATCCAGTGTGATCAGTGATATATTCTGTATTCCTTCTTATATGGTGGTCATAGTTTTTGATGTTTAACAAAATAACAGTTTATAAAACTCTCTGAGACAGCACACATAATGCTTCATATTTATCAATAAAGTGTTATATTTCCCTGTGTCTGGAGAGAATTTCACCAATTTAAAGCAATGTATACTGCAGGAGCATACTTTGCACAATATTTATGGACACATAATTATAATATTAAAGCTATTGTAAACAATGTAATATTGCATAATTACAAACAAATATTTTAGGGCTTTTATAAACAGTAATCAAAATGAATGTTTAATATAGCATAAAAAACTACATAAGGCATGATGGAAAAATACATAATTAAGTAAAATATCAAATATTAAGGTCTTTAACATTTTGTAATCCATTAAAAATAAGTTTGTTTATTCAAATGTATAGAAATATTAAAATATAACCATTTGAAAAAAGCAAGGAAAACATGAAGACTTTGGTCACTAAAAATACCAGTAAATAGCCAAGTTTTTCCCAGCATACTGTTAAGAATCGTTTCATAGTTAGTTAACCCTAAGCTGGACCTATTTACAGTACATGCATGCTCTTTCACTAAACAAGAAAATAAACAACAGTGGTCTCTGGCAACAAATGTGTATTCATACAGATTTATTTAACAGACTCGTGTTAACAATATTGATTTTAATGGAGTCGATTCTGTGTTCAGTAAACGATTTAATACACAATTACGCCGTCGCCACCTACTGATGTAAGCTAGAGGAACCTGTCAGAACGATTGATGAACAAACATCTCCACCAATGAAGACATGATTAATTTGATCAACCACGTGATGGCGCTAAATATGTTGAATTTTTCTTTATGGACCAAAGCTTTGGGGCATTTAGCAGGCAACAATGGCAACAAACTTTAAAAAAAGGGATTTTTTTCCACACGCCACGGCAAATTAAATTGCACACCAACATTAAATTACAGGCATAAACATTATTTATTTTTTGAAGGCATTAAAACGACACTAGAATTGTGCTAACTGCAGTGCAAACTACGATTAACTTAACAATTTAGCGTGAAGCAGCTTCGCTTTTCTATGTTGCCTGACGCATTAAACTTTACCTGAAAATGTTGTCCGAGTTCATACACTTCTCCCCCGTACTCGCAGCCGATCTTCTCGCATCTCGGACAGCAGTCTGTCGGGTAATGGCTGACATGGATGCAGGCGGTAGGCAGGGATGTGCACTCAGTCCGCGCGCAGGCAGACCCGTCAGCCGTACATTCGCATTGAGTACATGGATCCGAGTCTAGAAAGTACCATTCGCCCACATAATAGACGCTACCGTTCGCCTCGCAGGTCGTCTCTTGCTGTCCAGCGACCGAAAAAGCCAGAGCAGGATAGCCGGAGATCAGCAAAGTCAGCCAGACACGAAAAGTCACAGGGGAACCACAGAGAAAAGCCATGCCCATCATCAAAATACTTTGTCTCAAAGCAAAACTTGCAAATGCACTATAAATATTGATTAGTATGCTATTTTCACTAAATTGCGATTGCAACGTTATCTAATCTACATAAAGTACAGAATGCATGTCATTATGATATGTGTGTGCGCTCGCGCTTGGAGGCTGTTGCGCACAGGGAAAGTTTTACGCCTCCTGGGTTATGTTTCAATTTACACGTGACAGCCGAATACCTGAATATTGATTGGCTTTTATGGGGCATTCGCTGTTATTGCAGCTTTCTGTATCTATTGAGAGTTTAGAATGTGCTGTTTACTTAGCAAATAAATAAAATTAAAATAAACTTTAAAAATGTTTTTTTGATATGTTTATCCAATTAACAACTAACAATTTCAGTGCTCAGCATAATTGAGTACATCCCATTGTGAATTACATTGCGAATTTAGCAGCTACAGTGAATCTAGGCAATGTATTTTGGTGCGTTTAAACTAAACAGATTTATTAAACAGATATATTTATCAAAATAGTATTTTAGTCGCCAATCATTGAAAGATAATTGAAAAGAAATTGAAAATTAAATTTAAGCAAAATATTGCAAAAGAAATGCAACCAACAAGATTTCAACTAAAATTTTCTTTATATATATATATATATATATATATATATATATATATATATATATATATATATATATATATATTTATTTATATTTGTTTATTTCTCTTGATTTTTCCTCCTTTTAAATTTGTATCTAATGTTTTTATAAATCATATAAATTTGTGTGTACTAGTTTTTGGACCGTTTTGGACAGTTATTATTACCTTAGATAAGCTCAAGATTTGGCTTCTGTACTGACTAATCTAAAGTATACTGTATGCACCAATGTAATATTGTATAGCTTCCTATTAAAAATAATAATTTAAACGATACATTTGTAAGGGGTACATTTGCTTGTATATGCTGAGCACTGTAACTTCAAAAAACATGTTTTTGGCAATATAACATAACCAAAATATATAAACATAGTTTAGCTGCTTTAACCATGTTGTAACAAACAGATGCTCAACACACAAAATACTACAATAAAACCATGGTTTATTTTTTAACCATGTTGAAAATGTAAGATCTTTTAGTTAATTCTATCCCAAAATAATATTCTAGGTAGTCCTAGACTACACTATTCCCGCACTAAATTACACTCAATATACCCCTCTGTATCGCCTCTTTGTATTAAATGCAAGTCCAATGAAGGTACACTGGCACACATATTTTGGTTCTGCCCAAAAATATCAAAATTTCGGATGGAGGTGTTCTCTTTTTACTCTGAAGTACTAAGGATTGATTTTCCACCTGACCCTCTTATTGCAATATTAGGCTGGGCTCCTCCCTTTCAAAACTTTAGCTTGGATCAAATCCAGACAGTTCAATATGGAATGACTATGGCAAAAAAAGTTAATATTATTGACGTGGAACAAAGAGTGTACACCTAAATTTGAGACATGGCTCACAGAGTTTTGTAATGTACTACACATGGAAAAGATTAGATATGAGATTACAGGTAAACCAAAGAAATTTTCAAAAATTTGGAAGCCCTTTTTTGAATGTCTACCGACTGATCAATGAAAACTGATTGGTATGGAAGATTCTGAATCATAGCAATGTGAACAAAATACTAATTCTCAATAATTAGGTATGTATAGGTTTTCAATTATCCAATTTTATTTTTTAGTCTATTCACAAGACTTTGTTTTCACATAAAATAGGTGTTTGTATCTACAGTTAGCCTGAAATTAAAATCAAATCATTTTGTGATTTAACCTACAGTAACATGTAAATTGTGTGTCTGTGTGTGTGTGTGTGTGTGTGTGTGTGTATATATATATATATATATATATATATATATATATATATATATATATATATATATATATATATATATATATATATATATATTATATACTGTATACACAATGTAATATCAACGATGAAATATCAACAACATGAAATTTTCTTACACTAATTTCTAAATACAGAAAACGTATTACATATAATAGTATGAACAACCTGCAAGATCCTTGCATCCTAGCGTGAAACTCCCAACAACAAAATAAGATATTTTTAGGATTCAATAACAACTGGAAACGGTGAAGTCATTTGTAATGTACACCAGGTCTGAACGGGTTAAAGACGATCTCTAAGCCAACCATATGACACTGCGAGCTTGTCGCCATAGGAACTGGAATGTTTACACTGATACAGGAAGCTACGATTGTTCTGTGTCCGCTGGTAGGAAAACCTCTTCTTTTATAACCAGAGTAACATATATTCATGCTCGAGTGTGTTTCAGATATTCTTCTTTGTTATGTAAAGCTTTAAAGCTTTTATAACTGAATGTTATGTATTTTTTTGTTTTGTATCAAATTGTTTCAGTATTGTGTTTGTTTATCATGCTCTTTCGCTTTGTACAACGTGTCGCGTTTTAAAAGCATGAGTTGCATTTAGCTCAATGATCTCTTTATTTATTTCCAGCTATTTTCCCTCCAGTTGTGGACAAATCTGCTGCTCGACAGTGATGAGTTTTTGTGCTCGGCTCTGAAAATAGCGGCTTCATGGACAATTTCCAGCACCAACAGTCTGTGTGGAATTTAGTAAAGGAAAATGTGCCCTGCTCTGAACTTCCTGAGATCAGAGCTGTGCTTGGAGATGCACTGATTGATACTTACACAGAGTTATATTCAGAGGTAAATAAATAAGTAATATTTATGCATCAGAACGACTGACTAACAAGACTGAACAGACTGTGAGCACTGAAAGTAAATTATAGGTCTATAATAAAAAAGGAGTACTGACTACAAATGTTTCTTTTTTTATTGTCAAGTTGAAACATCCCTTCAGTTTGTAGATGCAATATTTTTTTAAAGATAGATTAGATTTGGCATGGATTATGAGAAAATGAAAGTCTTTCAAACATCCCTATAACAATAAAAAATAATTGAGAGAGAGAGGGATAAAGAGAGAGAGAGAGATGTACATTTAGAAATACATACAGTATGTGCTTTTTTAAGCACTGAATTGAATGTATCCATGATCAGGTGTTGTAGTGCACCCCTGACTTGTAACATTAAACCAGTTTTGAATTACATCTCCCAGGAGTGCATTATCTCATTGAGCATAGTCCCAGGAATCCCTCCTTACTTGAAAAGATATAGGGACCGTTTCAGAGATTACTTTTTGAAAGACAAATTGGCTTTCACAAACTTCCTCTCACCATTTGCGCAAACAGCCATGTGAATATGGAAATAGGGGGTGGAAACTTGTCTGTGAAAGATGTATGTGATTCCTCCTACATCAGATTTATAACCATTCTGTTAAAACCCCTCTGCTGATGTTCACACTGGATTAAGACTTTAGTGAATTTTTGGCATAGTAATAGCTCGAATGTGATATTCATAGTTAAATTCATTTTTCCCATTAAACAAAAATATATTCTAGAACCAATTATCCCGTTAAGCAAAGAAAACACTTTGGCATTTTAATAGTCCAATTAAAATATTTTTTTAATTATTATTATTATTAAACATGCAAGAGATGCGAAGTTTGGAACTATTTATTTGTAAAAGGCAAAGATCTGTGAGACAGATAATAAAACATTTAACTACTAAGATATATTTATGAATAAATAAAAAATACAAAATACATAAATAAAATTATTTTAAATGTAACTATAAACATTAAAGCATCACAGTGTTATAATGTACAGTTAAAATGATATTTAATTTTAGATTTGCTAATAATTATTAATAATTAGCAAATTATTAATTAATTATTTGCTAGGTATTTATGGGTTTTTTTAAGGTAACGTCATTTTAGAGTTAAAATGATTAGTGATAGTTATGAAAAAATGAAATAAAATAATGATAAAATTTAATTTAATTTTGTAAACATTTAAGGTCAGATATCTAATACATATATATCTATAATGAATTTACGATAACATTTTACATTAAAATTTTTAAAGATTCTCATCAGAATAGTAACTACAGTATATGACAACATTTGCTTTTAGTTTTCTTTTCCACCTTAGCGTCAGTAAAATAAATAGTGAACATTTTTAACATTTTTGGACTTTTTTATTTGCTTTTTTGCCCAGCCGAGTTTTTTAATAAACTTTAAAATACTGAGATTCATTTCTCAACAACTTGTCCTCTCTTCCTATCTCTCATTTGCTTTTGAGCCTGTCTCTTATAACATGTGTTCAGTAAAAAAATATACAAGATGCAGTGTACAAGAAAATACTTGTATTAGAAGTAATATTTAGCTCACCTACTGATTTAATCCTGCATCCTCACAGAAATGTCTATGCGCATCATAAACCCCTGGTTCTGCACAAGCCGCAGTGGAAGTGAATAAGAAGAAGCTGGCCTGTATTCTACCGAGTTATTTAGGATTGAAGTTGGTTTCATGCAGGCACAGCAGGATCAGAATTCTCCAGGAGCTGGTTTTACTCTGTCTTGCATTGCCTTAGACAAGCTTTGAAGTGTATTTTCAGAGTCCGAGGGAAACTTGAAAGTCTCAAGACAGGTGTGGAGATTGGTAATAGAGTGCAGACATTGTTTGCCAGTGCCGTGACAAGCTTTCATTTCCCTCTCCAGCTTTTCACCTCACATGAGAATAACACATGGATTTTTCTTTTCTGATATCCTCTAAAACTTTCATGTTTTAACACACACTTGCAGTTATCTAACATAAATTTGAGACACTTGTGATCATGGGATGTTAACCATATGGCTGTATTTCTCAAGATGTAGTGCAGCTTGTGACATGTATTTGGAAAGCTGAGCCAAAAAGCACTGTGTAACGCTTTCCTCTGTTGACCTGTTCTAGGTGGAGATGTGGGAGAAGATTTGGCAGGAGCTGCATTTCTCAGAGCGGGGCAGCAGGCCAGAAGCCCCTGTGTTTCCTCTGGCTGACCCTCCAGCTCTTAAAGAGTTGCTAAAAGCAGAGATTCAATTGTTGCTGCTCACTCTGAGGGAGAAAGCAGCCAGACAGGGCAGGTGAGGAAGTTACAGCATTGTAATGTTACCGATATGCACCACTTTTACATTGACAGACATCAAGCCATACAGATAGCACAATATGTTATACTGACACTTGCTTGTGAGATACTTTGAATAGAATCATCTGCTGTAAATGCTAAGCTTGTAGTTAGCTCTCTGTAGCTTTCACATGGTTGCCCACTGAAACTAAGCAGGGCTGAGCCTGGTTAGAATCTGGATGAGAGACCACGTGTTGCTTCTGGCAGAGGTGTTAGTGAGACCAGCAGAGGGTGCTCATCCTGCGGTCTGTACTGGTCCTAATGCGCCTGTAAAAGGATGGGGCCTCTATATACTGTCAGTAAGCACCAACCTTCAGATGAGATGCTAAACTGAGGTAAAAAGAGTAAAGGTATGTCCCCAGCTGCTGTTGTGTCATACAGGTAGATGCTGCATACGGGTGGTGGTTGGGGAGAGTTTCCCCAAAAACTGTAAACAGGGTTCATATGATCATGGAAAACCTGGAAAAGTCATAGGATTTTGACATGGCATTTGCCAGGAAAGGTTTTGGAAAAACCCACAAAGTTTTTGGAAAAGTCATGGAAAACAGATATCTGTACTTAATAGGTTATTTACTTATTTTCTGTCCTTGGCCAATCACATACTCTTACATTATTAGTGCTGTGTAATAATTATCTAAATTAATTTTGCATTCATTCATTCATTTTATTTTCAGCTTAGTCCCTTTATGAATATGGGGTCACCACAGCGGAATGAACCGCCAACTTATCCAGCATATGTTTTTGCGCAGCGGATCATCTCTGGGCAAACATATAAATATAAATTGAAACTAAATTGATTGTTGCATGTTTTATGATATGGTGTAATAAATTTAAACATGCATTGTTTTTTTTTTTTGTTTTTTTTACCACGCATAGACATTGCATGGAACTTTAGGTAATGAAAACTTACTTAAAGGTTTTGGAAAAACCATGAAAAAGTCATGGAATTTTAGTAGTAAAAATGTGCATGAACCTTGTGGAAAGCAAATGCACCATAAATATTTATTAGTATGCTATTTTCACTAAATTGCGATTGCAACATTGTCTAATCTAGATAAAGTACAAAATGTCCTCATTATGATATGTGTGTGTAAAGCAGCAGGGGGTGCTCCTCCTGCAGTCTGTGCGAGTCCTAACGCCCCAGTATAGTGATGGGGACTCTATACTGTCAGCAGCACCATCCTTCAGATGAGATGTTAAACCAAGGTCCTGACTCTTTGTGGTCATTAAAAATCCTAGGATGTCCTTCGAAAAGAGTAAGGGTATGTCCCTGGCTGCTGTCGTGTCATTCAGGTGGATGCTGCATACTGGTAGTGGTTGAGGAGATTCTTTCCAAAAACTGTAAAGTGGTTGAGTGCCCAGAGCAGTGCTAAATAAATGTAAGGAGTTATTATTATTTAATGCAAATGACAGATAAAAAATACAGATATTATAATACACTGGTACAATAAATCTGTTAATTAATTAATCTGTTAAGGCCAATTAAGGCCTAATTATTCTGATGTTAAAAGGCCCCCAAAAGTGAGGGACAGAAATATTTCAAATCTGTTTAAAAAACATCTTCATACAACAATTGTATGGTTTTGGAACGACATAAGAGTTAATAAATTACAGAATTTTTATTTTTGGGTGAACTAACCATTTAACTTTAAATGATATAGATGATCACATGAGTTTTTCAAAGGGTGAGCACGCACAAGAAAATATTAACTGATATTGACAAATTAATACATTTGTACAATTAACAAAAAGTTGATAACATATTTTAGCTTTCAGTTGTACATTTCAAATGCTGCTTTATTGAACTACATTAAAGTGATAGTTCTCTCAAAAAATGAAATTGTGTTTATGTGCTGACCCTTAAGTGGTTCTTAAATCTCTTTTTTCATCATAAATATTTTGAAGAATGTTGGACACTGGTACACTGTAAAACCCAAAAAGTTAAGGTAACTCAAATCATTTGAGGAAACCGGTTGCAATAAACCATTTGAGACAAAAACTAATCTATGTGTGTTGTTTGAACTTACTCCATTTAAGTTAAAGTAATGAGAAATTTAACTCATTACCTTCAACACTGAGTTTTAAAACTCTTTTTAAATGAGTAGAATTAACTTTCAGTAAATTTTAAGTTAAATACACTCATTTCATTTGAAAAAGTTGACTTTATAGTATAGCCATATACTATAGTATATAGTATATTTACTATAGTATATACTCCATATAGGAAAAAAATACTATAGAAGTCAATGGCTAGAAGTTTCCCATATTCTATAAAATATCTTATTTCATGCTCAGCAGAAGAAAGAAACTGGTTCGGAATAAATTAAATTGATTTAAAAAAAATTTTTATAGATTCTAACTGAAATGGGCCATCTTAAGATCCCATGTGGGTCCCATGTACAAGTTGCTTTCCCTTACTTGATGAATGAATGAAATGGCCTTAATGGAGATGCCAAGTATTCTTTTCAGCTGACTAGGGTTGAGTTTAAAGGTCAGCACTTTGCTTCAGTAAAATAGCATTGTTTTAAAGAATGCTTGCTGATAAATCATTGACCTTTAAAGCTTAGAGCAGCACACAACAAAAGGGTTGTTTTAGTAAAATAAAGTGAATTAGTTACGTCAGCAGTAATGACAATGCTTTGTTTGATTTGACAGGTGATATTCTGTTTGCCTTTAAATTTGGAGCAATTTATGATAACATTTCAATTTGTTGCCTAGTGACTTCTCTATAAGGGTTCTTTGTTACTACACAGACTTATTGTGGCTGCTTGTCTAATATAACAATGAAGTGGGAGGACGATATTTACAGGTACCAGAGAGACGATTTTCTCTCAGCAACCTTTCAGAGAGTGGAAAGAATGTTAACACTAGGTCTTGTTTTACGGTTTAATACTTAACATTTTTCTATGCTAATCCTAAATGTTGAACCTTTTTTGCATTTCCTAAAGTCTTACTCTTAGACCATGGTGGAAAGAGAACTGATAAACATCATACTCAATTAAAAGTACAATTTCTTGTCAAAAAAAAAAAAAATTAGTGCAGGTACAGTAAAATTATCTGTTCCAAATACTCAAAGTATGAGTAAAACAAAGCCCTTCTAATATAAACCATGAGTAATGAGTAGTGAGTATTATTCTGTGAAATACATTTCACCTTTATTGACTTTATTGAAGTGCCCTCTATTTTTCTGAATGTTTTAGAACTTCTGATTCAGTTGACTATGGGAGAAATTTCTAGGAATAATTAACGGCAGAAAAAGGTCAAACTACTTGTAAAGTATTATAAAAAAATATGTATTATAAGAAAATATCTGTTTGCATCAAGCAGCATAACAATCTGTTTTTAATGTTAAAAAAAATCAATGGAAGTGAATGAGACCGGATGTTTTGAGCCAAAAACATTATAATGGCTGCTCCTGCTTGTATATGAAGAATAAGGTATACTCTGGAATTTAAAGATGTAGCTTACATCAGTGCCATTTTTCAAAGGCATTTTAAAGTGTAAGATAAGTTACTTGCCGTTTACAGACTTTGAATTTAAAATGTGAGATTATTATGCATTTATATGCTGAGCGAAAGTGATGCAGTGGTGCAGTAGGTAGTGCTGTCGTCTCACAGGTAGAAGGTCACTGGTTCGAGCCTCGGCTGGGTCAGTTCCTGTTTCTGTGGGGAGTCTGCATGCTCTCTCTGCATTCACAAGGGTTTCCTCTGGGTGCTCCGTTTTCTCCCACAATCCAAAGACATGTGGTGCAGGTGAATTGGGTGGGCTGGATTGTCCATGGTGTATGAGTGTGAATAGGTGTTTATGGATGTTACTCAAAGATGGGTTGCGGCTGGAAGGGCATCCACAGAGTAAAAACATATGCTGGATAAGCTGGCGGTTCATTCCGCTGTGGTGACCCCAGAATAATAAAGGGACTAAGCCTAAAAGAAAATGAATGAATGAATGAATGAATGAATGAATGAATGAATGAATGAATGAATGAGGGAATGAATAAATGAATGAATACTGAGTGAAATCTGTGTTACCATTAGGGAGCAATGATAAAGAATGATCATCCTCTATTTGGCCTGTTTACTTTCTTTTAACTTTACTTTTTTCTTCTACTTTTGTGAAGTAAGGAAAAAGTGGAAACTCACTCCAATGAAAACATCCATCTACACACCTAATTTCATTTGTTAAGTGCAAAGATTTGTTTGAAAACCATTTCTAAATTCAGTTCCAATTTCCAGCAAACAAATACATTAACAATGATTTTAAAGTGTGGTAAAAAAACTAAGTTATATACAAACACATGTCCTATTCTTATGCCCCATAAAAAGGTTGCATGGATGCATCCATTAGCCTACATTTTTTGTTTAATTTGTTAAGCACAAAAATTTGTTTCAAATCTATTTATAAATTCAGCTCTAATTTCCAACAATCAAATAATAAGAACAATAATAACGAAGTGTGGTCTATTCCTATGCCTCATATGGTGATGCATACATCTCCAAAACTCGACAGGTGGACAAATCAAAACTTTGCATCAATTTCAGTTTTTATTTTGCTTGTTACTGACTTCCACAACATTGTTTAACTGCTGATCTGCTTTGAGGGCAAATCCCCTTTACTTCCCTTTCATTTTGCTCCAGTTTTGGAGCTTTCCCGGTACCTGATGCTGGCCAAAGCAGGAAACTATTGACTCAATGCTGTTTTTAGAGCCGTAACATGGGCAAGGAAGCTTTAGAAAGGGATTGATTTAATGGATCTAGTTAGAGTCACTTTCCCCCCTCTTTGGCCTCCCCTCCCTCCTGTGTGGTCTAAGACCTTGTCTGCATGATTTGTTGGGGCTGTACGGAATCAAGCTGCACCTGTTTCTTTATGCAAGTCCTCCGTTCAATGGGCATTGAGAGAGAAACTCAGTTCATGTGTGAACCGCAAGCGTCTGAGACTTTAAAAGCCGACCAAAAAGAGGGT